TGTAGTATGTGTACCAGGTTAGGCCATAATTTCAGGTACAATACTATGGAAGTCACTCGGCTAATCCCCGAACTTGTAATTGAACTAAAATGAAGGGAAATTGAAATAAAATTATGGTCTATGGTCTTTTCTCGTTTCAGCGCCCGCAAAAGTGTTGTCCTGCTACTGTAACACCCACACTTTATTATTAATTTTCTTGAACTTCCGGAGAGCACTACCTAATGACACATTCACGCTCTGTTCATTTTACAAACTTCCAGGGGCACTCATTGGTGGCACATTCACGCTTTGTTCACTTCTTGTACATCTTTGTACTTTGGAGGGGCATGGACTTGCAGAAACTTGCCTCTGCGCTAATCGGACATCCTGTGGCTGAAGATCCCTTTTAGCTCGGTGTTCCAAAAGTTTTTTGAGAGGTTTGATAGCAGCGATTTTTTTCAGCCATGTCAGGACCATATGATATCTTTGTTTAATCTTCCCATTCATGTCTTTGATATTTATATTCACAATCTTCAATCTCAGCTTTTGTTAACACAAATTTTATTTTTTTTATATAAATTGAGGCCATTCCACTCACATTTTACAGCATTTACAGCTTCGTAAATCCGAAATGACTCCTTTCGATTTGGTGATGTTGCTTTGTTGACTGCTCCGGACTATAATTATTCACCACAGCGCTTGCACTTTCGCCTTCCACATCTATAGTAATATCACTAAACAAAGACGAAACGGCATGCTGATTTACTCCAGAATTGAAATTGTTTTTGATACCTGTTTCATTATTCCCTTTCACATATATTTTAGGTGAGGAAAACAACCGTTGTGATGAGTTGTTATCACATCTTTCAGTCATATATTTCCACTAATAAACATGTATTTACAACAACTGGCAATGAAGTTCAATCAAGATACAAACAATATCTATAGATAACCTTGGATGGCTTCATATTAATTTTGTCCACCTCTTCGACTGATATACTGACCATCCCTTTCTGACTAGAGGAGAAGGTGGATTATTGAATTGAACTTGTGTCGTTGCTAGAAGTCAACATAGGGTCGGGTCCGGGATACTCGTATCCGAATCAACTCTTTTCCTAGCAGATGATGCGGTTACACCTTAGGCTTGGAGCAGTCGATTTTGGTTTGAAATGACTTGTGTCATGGTTAGAAGTCGTGGAGGTTGAGGTCAGTGGAATAACTACGTGAAACTCTGCAGAGAATACAGATTCTGCAAACATAAAAATATTTGTCAGCTCCAATTTTAATGAGACACTGGTTAAATTTATTTTTCATAAAATACTGATAACTTATATATGCAGAAGTTTCACTGATGTACTGTATGATAAGAAATGTAATCAAATCTATTTGCCGGACTGGTATTTTACTGAATAGTGAATCTGTTGGTACATGTTTAAAAAGGTTTATTATTGTGTATTTTGCTTTGAAAGTGACAAAGCTTTGTTTTTAATTTTGGTCGGCACGCGAGAGAATTTTTGTCGTTAAATTTAGCCGATTTTGGCACGCGAGCCGAAATAGGTTGCCCACCCCTGGTCTAGGATGAGATTCCAGCAAACAGCTAAAAAGGGGACCAATGCGGCTATGACGTCGTACATAGGAATATATGAGTCTCCATGTTATTTGTATTCGCGGGTATGAAAACAAGTGGGACAAGATTTGATTTCTACCTACAAAGAATATATAAGAAATGTATGTATTATTCAAGCCCAATTGGAAATGGAATAATGCAATTAGTCAAGATTACGCTTCAGCATCTCCAAATATAGCACACCAATCCAAGTTGAAAATAACTGCATTGCTTTTTCATCACTTCCCCGTTTTAAGTATTCACCTTTAAAGACCTTTAAAGTCTTTTTGATAACATTTCCATAAAAAAGTTTTGTCCCATTTTTAACTCCATCAGTGTCATGTAATGTTAGTTGATCAATAGCCCTTTCCAAATAATCAAAATTTGTTCGACAAAACATATCAATAATTTTGGGCTCTGTTGAACAATTTGACAGTTCTTTGAACTTTATGTACAGTGATGCTAAACAGAGCATGCTCACGTTTTTCAATAAATTCCTCCCAAATGTTAGAATTGATGCATGACTTTTGCATAAATTTTCTTTATCGTCATTCTGAAACCGGGCTAGAATATCGAAAAATTCATGATTTGTGTCTTCTTCATGCATAATGAGTATAGAGGCAGGTATACCACTCTTTTTCTTTCAAGAATTTCATCTTTGAACAATTATTTACATGTCTTGCAAAGTAACTCCTGTCAATAAATGCATGACACGGAGAACATAAACGGGACAAATCAGCTTGACATTGTTTTGGGCGCCTTTCAACTTCTATGGGTTCGTCTTCTTTTATCATTTTTAAACTATGCTCATATATGCCCTCCTTCCGCAGAAGATCAAATTTCATCATTTTTTCCCGTCCAGTCCCAAAGCCTCTTTAACCGCAGCTTCCTGTCCATGCACTGTTTCTAGATGCCGTTTCAATTTAAATAGCATTTTGCCACAATATAAACACGGACATTTTGGCTTGCTTAAGCTGTTTTTATTTTTATCCCGTTCTTTTTCACTTTCATCGTTTTGCAAATGGTATCCACCAGTTGAATGCAATTCAGACAGTGGCATAGTTTGTAACTCACTATCACAGTCCGCTGATCAACAAGGAACATCACTGTCAGTCTTAACTTTGCATTTTCCATGCTCTGAAGACATCGACATCGCATATACAAAACATGCTTTCAGTCTTGTTCAATTGTGTACAATATTACCCAGTTATTAATTTATCATAAACTGGTGCAGATGGGAATATTCTATTACTTAACTGTTATATATTCATGGGCTTATTTTCCAGTAGCGTCCAGATGTGAAATATATGTTTCAGTAAACCCTACTTAAACCAGAAGGCCTTGCTCGTCGAAAAGTGTCGTAACGTTACCAGAACGTCCCAAAACTAGATGCAAACAGGCTGGTTTGAGTGTGCCTATATCAATATTACTCAGTTTAGGCAAAACCAAAATCTGCCTAAGTCCAATGGACTTATGCCAGTGCTTCAGGTCGATGGGGTTAGGGTCAGTGATACCCCATCGAGCAAACCCCGCAGACTTTTAATATTTTGCAAATACAAAAATATTTGTCGGCAGTCATGCAAGATAAATGGTTGTCTGATATTTCCTAGGCCAAGAGTCTGTATGAAGTCGTTATATATACATATATAGATTATTCGGCGGTTTGGGGGACTCATGCAAAACACGATGTTAGGGGAACACCATAAAGGCGATGTGCTGAAAAACTTTAAATGGTACGAGACGCTTATACGGAGTGTGGCATTTTATACTCTGCATCGGTATGAGAAAACTGAATGGGTTTATTCTTAAGAACATAGAAAAAATGTCCGCTCAAAAAGTCTCCGAATTATTTTGCCACTTTTACATCGGACAATATATATTTATATATTTTCCACTTTTTTGGTGAAGCGGGATCCTGATAAGGAAGTCCTCAAAGTGGCTGTAGGAATTGTATAAATTATAAACCTATAAACAGGCCTCAAACTCTTTGCTGGGTCAAGGTTAGTTTATCTATGTGGTGTATTTATTACGTCATACATCGCATGACTACTCGTGCGATTTGCCCAACACGTTTTGTCCTTGGCAGGAGTCTTCGCCCAGTAGTTGGTTTGAGTTGTTTATTAAACGGAGGGGTTAAGAATACAACAATCTGGCTCTTGTATTGTTTTTATAGAGTGCTAAAATATCAAATATATACCCTCCCGGACAAACGCACATTTTGTTTTTACGTACTTTTATTTGAATTATCAACAGTACATTCGTCAGAAACCCTGGCCTCCCTCGCGCAGAGAGGGGGGAAACGGCTTATCTATCTGAGCCAGCCCTTCAAAGAAATGACTAGATAAATACTCAGAATATGATCTATATTCAAAGGCATCCACAATATTGAAAACTTTTCAATCTCAAAATTTGCTGGAACATTTTGCAATATAACATAACAAAAAGACATGGATAATCAGAATCTTATTTACTATAATATTAATATATCTAACAGTTCATACAATTTAGATTGGAACTGAATAGGTCCAAGTTTTGGATCAATCGTGTTACAAGATTTCGCAACACTTGCAAACAACAAAGTATAGATTTTGGTTTTCAGTGCTTTCGGGACATGCTTGCGTTCAAAAAAGCTTTTCATTAAACTTCCGGGACGTCCTCTATGAAGGTTATCTTGAACGTATTAGTATTCAGATAATATTTTTTGGACGCGTAACGAGTGTGCTTATAATTAGCCTAAACACGAATTTTATTGGGAGAACCAAAGTTTTAAATGTATTTTTAGTGTCTCAATCGTTTCTTGGCATGTCTGCGTTTGAAAGAGTTTTACTTCAAATTTTTGGGGAGTGTTCTGTGAATTTGCCTTGTGCATGTCAGTATTTTGAGAATACTCTCAGACACGTAACGACTGTGCTTATAATATAATATACCAAATTAATTACATGTTAAAAATATAGGTGAATATAAATGTTCAAAAATAAATTTTTTTATTATAAATTGTCCTGTTTTTTATTTAAAAAAAAAACATTTATTATAAATAGCTGAAAATATCTTACTTAAGAATGTCAGAAATAATCTCAGAAATGTCGTGCGAGTTACTAATTATGTGTCAGAAGGTGAAAAAGAGAATTTTTTTTCTCTGAATGTGGTTGAATGATAACAATTCAATAGGATATCAAGTTCATTGAAATATTCGGGTATTGGTATCAGACCACTGGGAGAACCAAGATTATTAAATGTAGATCGTGGTTTCCTGGCATCCTTGCGCTCAAGAGTTTTTCTGTTGTCAGCGTTCAAATCACATTTTTACAAGTAACGAGTATCTAAAATTATAGTTATATAAGAATTTTGAACATATTGAACATAATAAAAGTGTTGGGAAATAATTTCATATTCAAATTTCCTCGGTGCCTAATCACAACCACCAAGTCAAGAATGTCGAAAATTCGCTCAAAAGTGCGAATTACTATCAATGTGCCAGGAGGTAAAGAGAACATCTTATTCCACAGAGAAAATTAGCGAACAAATTAGGTTCATTTCGTTTGAGCATGACGGCGATTCATTAATGTGCTGAAGGGTAAAGGTAACAAACAACTCATTCGGTGATTGGGCTGTGTGGCGCATCGTGAAGCAGCGTTAGGAATACGCTCGCCACGCATCTACTATTACCCTGCGTGGGTTCTTAGGTTCGAAACCCGAAGGGAAGATTATGTGCGAGGGGATTGCTGGGCGACTCGCCGTAGGGTGTTTCATGTAACCGTTGGTCAGTTATGGCTTCTTTCACCATCGAGTCCATGCATCTGAAAAAAAATAACTGGCTAACCAACCCCATACTCGACATGGTCTGGTAACCGGACAAAAGGCCGTTGTTCGCTATTTAATTCGTCTTATCGACTTTCCTCTATCCCGGGATAAATATGTAATCCTATCCTACTTTGAATCCAAGTGAATGTGGTAAAATATCAATTTAATAGGATATCAAATCCATTGCCATATTTGGATAATTGTTCGAACCACCGTTGGGAGCATTGGAGCTGTAGAATTCAATATTTGCCCATGGTCGTTTCACATGACTTGGTCATGTTTTGCGATTTATTCATACTAGTCACTCAACCTTTTTTTGTGGCACATTTTCCTTACAAAAAATATCGTACAGAACTTTCCGTGCAAGGGACAAACAGAAGAAAATCTAAAAACTATGTCCGCAAAAATAGACACTTTCCCTTAATAATTAGAATGGAAATTACCCTTCAGTAACAAAAAACAGTAATATTGTTCATCACCATTACAATCAAAATAGTGACACAAATGACAATGAATTTATCAATCACTCTAGCAATTTTTAGTGGTTTGTGGCCAATCTGAAAGTGTTGCAGTGCACCAGCAGTTGGATATGGCCCACTGATTGAGAATCGGTGCACTAGATAGACGCGACAGGCTTGTCCTGGGAGGGCAATTTATTGATAGCTCTGAATAAGGGAACCAAACAGTCTGGAGCATTAGAGGTAAAAATTCCATATTTAAGAATAATTTACATTTTATGGTCATATTTTGTGTTCATTCACACGAGACAGACCTCGACGCCCCTTTTGCCGTGATATTGGAACTTGAGCTCGCAAACAAATTGCCTACAGATTTGGCAACTGATTTATCCTCTGTGGCGTCCTCTGGTGACGAAACCGAATTATTACTAATCGTAAAGACGCTGGATGTTCGTTCAACAGCCATACGAACCAATTTCCATTGCCTTTGTGCGTTGTTATGTCGTTTTGACGAGGTACGATCCTCGGTTTGAAACCCGTGGCTGTCGTCGACACTGGCAATCTTAGCTGCATGGGTATATGGGGCAAGTATAATCTTCCATCTTGAAAAGGACGAGATTACCGCAAGCAAGTTCACGACTAAGTTAAAATCGTAAAGCAGTATTGGAACTATATTATAGGGTTCATTAATAGTTATAACTAATATAGAAACGACTAGGTTTGTGATTACACACACAAGACAAGCCGTTAATGATCGTTTAATTAAAGGCATCAGCTTGTGCGCTTTATCTTTATATAGTTTGTGGAACTTCATTAAACTTTGTTGCCTTGATAACGGGTAGATGAACAAGCCAATGAATATGATTTGAAAAACTGCGGTTGTGATTCCGTAAACAACCCAGGCAACATAGGCAGGAATTGATGTTGAATTGACATCACACCCGAGGCTGGTCCTGGAATAAAAATTGAATAAAATCTAAGTTACGAGTTGAGGATATATGTTGGCCAATGGCGTAGGCAGCTCAAAATTGGAGGGGAAGGCCATTTTTTTTATACGACGCGATAAAATTGTGTAAATATATGGGATTGATGTTGCATTTACGCTCATGACACTATCACCATTATTGTGTGATGAGAAGTACAATTAGAATTATGTTAATAAACAAAGCCAAAGAAATTGTTACATGTTTTTGCTATGAAATCGTGCGGTATTATTTTGGACACCATGTATATCCGAAAAGGTCCCACCACACTGACAAGATAGCAGTAAAAAAATTCACAGGTCACACACAAGTAGTAAAAACACAATATCATTGAATTATTCAGATGGATTTCTCAAACCTATCTCTAATGAACAAATAAGTGGCTGCTTGTGTGAAGCCTTGTTTGGGCGAGGATTTGTAGTGTTATATCATAATAGGGTGTAAATACAGTATTACAATTTTTCAAAATTGCAAAGGGAATTTATCGATACTATATATTGTTTTGGTCCTCACAGATGTATTAAATGAGGTAAAAATCCTTAACAATTACTGATTAGGAAACAACAAACCTGGTTAAGATTTATTGAGAACTAACTTTATAAGAAAATTGAAATTGTAAAGGGACTTTACGGGCACTAATATATAAGGTGCTCCCGAAGTATCCGTACTTAGATGGCGCGCAACCTGAACATAGTACGTGTACCAGGTTAGGGTTATTCAGGTTGTGCGTCATATTGGTACAAATACTTCCGGAGCGCCATATATAGTTATAGAACGCTAGTAGTAAAACACAAGATCATTATATCGTTCATACCTCTTGTATTTTCTTGTGAAGAACAGCCCCGTCGTCAGGATTTCAGCAGCGAGTAACGCCGCTAGGCTTGCCCAACTAAAAAAGTGCGTCAGTGTTGAAGTAAGATGGCTCATTAGGGCGTTGTTGTAACACATCCTTTGCCTTATCCATAGGAACAGGTAAATCGCACAGAAAAACAGACCAGAAAACACGAATTTTGTTTGCACGACTTGATTACAATGTTCGTATGTTGTGTTGACTTCAATCAAAATTTCTGCGTGTTCAAGAGCCGTTCTGCAAAGAAATATAACCGCTGCAGCAATGTTTACTGATCGTAAGTATATTCCGTATCGTTTTGATGATCCTTTGCTAGCGAGAACCAAACTCACACTTTCATGTTTCCGTTTTAGGTACGCAGACCGTTCATATACAGTCAGAGCTATTAAAATGTAAAGTCCGATTACTGTGTATATCCATAATGATACTTGTAGTACCGTAGATCTGATTTGATTTCTTTCGAGTTGGTCAACATCAGTAGCGTTGCCAGATATGCTCCAGTCATCTTCCTCAAACATATTCACATTTTAGAATAATTTATAGGCTTCGGAAAATAACACTATAATATGCTATTAAAATACGAATATAACTGATGGTTAGTGTTTGTTCACGACGCTTAATGAGCAGCCTTATCTCCGAACACGGCCATGTGCAAGCAACCACTGATATCTAACAAATATGTAATAAGCTACTATAATTTGGAATGGACCAAAACCTTTTCTGGTTCAGCATCGCCTGCCAAATTCATTACACCCTTGGTTAGGTGGTGGACTTGGGATTTGAACCCGGGATGTGTAATCTGCGATCAGGGGTGTGGCCAGGAATTTTCAAAGGAGGGGGGATATGGAGTTTCTAATTGCCAAGTTGGAAGTAACAGCTATAGCGGGTCCGAAGGACGTGAGTTTTCAAGAGTCTTGACGGTCTAAAAAGCATTTTCAGCTACGAAAAATTACTATGTATGATACAGAAAAATGGACGCTCTAGATTAGAAGGATGCGTACCAATATGCAGGTAACTAATTTTGTTCGCCTCATTTACATCAAGATGTATACAGGGACTAATCATTATGGGCAGGGATTGCATCCACTTGGCTAACATAGACAATCGTCGAACTCTTAATATAACTAAAATGAGGAAAATCGTAATAAAATTATGGCCTATACCTAACCCGGTATACATACTACGGGAGTATACTACTACATACTACGGGAAAAATGCATGTCTATACGCTAGTCTAGTCGAAGTCCGGATTCCTATCTAGTCGAACGGTCTGTTATTCTAGACCTGCGTTTCAATTAATTTACCTTTTAGATCATGCAAAAGGACACCGACCAAGGAGCCAAGTCATGTCAGCGTCGCAAGTCGTATGCCAAACCGATCCGACTATTTTCAATGAAGAGTTAAACTATCTCAACTTAATTAAGCTTTGGCTGAATTATTTCTCAAATCGTTCTAGCTAAATCTCGTAATGTGCTTCTGGAAATTTTGACTCGGGAGAAAAAATTTAAAAACAATCTCTTCACAAGTCTTGTGCCATTTCAGCTAATAATTTCGACTTCGACTCTATAAGTCTGAAATCGGTCACGTAACTTCATATAATAAACAAATTTTGTGTCTGAACTATAAAATATAGCAATAGAATCTCATCTTCGACTAGAAATTTTAAATCACATGCGTCTGTTTCTAGACAAAACTTGCTGGCATCTCTTTGCAGACCTTTCAAAACTCAGCAATGGCGTTGCAATTCTAATAAAGAAAAAATATATGCAAAACGCAGGCTATATTATACGCAAATTATGACAATAAATTTAAGAAAAAAAATTTCAATAATTAAAAACATCCGGTCAATGAATGTCTATATTAAAATTCATTCGCCAGTGCCAAGAAGACCCGCATATAAATTTAATTTCATAATTACTTAAAATTAGTTTCAAAGTCCCGTTCTCAATAAGCAGTCAATGATAAGAGTTTTCGGTGGATCAGAATCTTCATCAAATATAACTCAGTATATTACAATTTTGGTTGCACTCTTAAGTAACTTGGTGGCGGTGAATGGCTCACAAGGATATGTTCAGAGAGAAAGGCGCGGATAATTTTGAGTTGTGGATAAAAATAATTTAATGAAAGAAATTGCCAATTCACAGTTTTATGCTTATATTTTGGTGTTTTTTGCACGGTTTTTGTACATTTTTAGCAAGGTTTTTGGTGGTTTTTCACGGTTAAGGGTTCTATAAGAAGCTATGAAACACCTTTCAAATATACCCTAGGAAAAGGGGGGTTAAATTGCAAGCGGCCCACATAAAAATATTCTGAGCATGAACTAGTACTTTCTCTCTTTCTGTATGTTTATATACAGGAAAATTTCGCCCGATTTTATAGTAATAACAATTGAAATTTCTTCTTTATTAATTGTTTAGGTTGTGCTTGCAGTTCTCATTTATCATACAATAAAATTTATTCAAACTTTAATTGGTATTACTATCAAATCAGGCGACATTTATGGACACCCTGTATATATAAATATCAATTTGTATGTCGCGCTTACTGAATTATGCTAGCTGTTGCGCTAGTCCAGTGTTTCCCAACCCGAGTCCGCGGTCTCAAATGAGTCCGCGGAGCGCTTGAATGAGTCCGCAACGAGCCAGAAATTCACTGCGGGACGCAAACGTTTTTGCGAAACTCAACTATCAGCCAAGTTATGATTCACGTTAGAATTTACATAAAACATAAAAAGCAAGTCCATTCACATACCATTAATCGAGTCAATAATTACTGGTTACTGAGTAGGGCTGGTCATATGGTCGATAATTCAACTATTAGAATTAAAATTTGGCATTCGAAAACTTGGTAACATGTGACGCGACGGATCACTTGCGCGTCGATTAGTCAAACGGTCGGATTTCACAGCTCACTTGCGGATTTCCGACAAAAACACGAGTCTGCACACGCTTCGATAGATACCTAAATAGTGTTTCGCGAGTTCGAACAACGAGGAATAATTTTTTTTTCTGCTAAGTGTCAATGGTGGCAACCCAAATTTTCTAAATTGAAAAGCGGCATTATTAAAAATAAAACGGAGAACACCTTAAGTTTTGTTTTATGATGGTCCGCGACCGATTAAATACGCTTTTTTAGACATTACAAATCGCAAAATTCCGGCTGCTACCGTAGTATACGTACCAGTGTTGTACGAACAGCTCAGATTTGTCAAAGTTACAAAAATACGAATCAAAACAAAATATAATCAGGCACTTTACCACGCATTTTCGTGTCCACGCATTGTCATCATATTTTCTGAGTATATCGCAATTAAATTAATGATAAAGCAACGCGATGAATATGTATTTTTTGTTTACTTATATACTTTAAATAAATTTTTAATAAGTGCTAAATCAAGTTGTACTTTCTGGAAATTTGTAGCAGATAGTCGAATTTTTCTAACGGCGATAACAAATTCGCAATATCGCAAAAAAATATGTATCCAAACTAAATATAATCGGGCAATATATTCTCACAATATTATAGTCGCAGATTGACGTGCAATTTTAAAGAGGTTATGATTTCATCTTGTCGTACGTGAGTCGACGCAACCGCGAGCTACCATGAACACGATTAAATTGAAAATCAAGAACATTTTAAATTCTCGTCGTTGTCATGAATTGAATATTGTGCGGCAGAAACGGCCATTATACACTGAAAAATTCGGCTCTTTTAACGAACGCGTAATCGCGGCGAATTTCCGATTTTGGAATTCGTTAAGATTTTGTTGTGTTTGGTTTTATTGCTTTTTCACACAGAATACGGTTGCAATAAACGCACATTGAGTCCGCAAAGGTTTTTGCCGATGAGAAAATAGTCCGCGACCAAAAAAGGTTGGGAAACGCTGCGCTAGAGGGTAATGCTGCACTTATCAATATTTCTATTTATAGTACATTCATTAAATACCAAGGAGAAATTGTTTCCGCAAATATTATGAACCGAACAGACAACCATTGCATAAAATGATCTATCATTGTCGAAATATCGATACCCACATTTAATAAACTTTAAATAATTTTTTTATTCTCTTTTTGAAGGTTATACTGTATGACATTAATGGGGTATGATACAAGTGTAAAAGGTCATCGATATGAGAATTTATGAATGGCATTGTTTTATGGTATCACTTCTTTATGCAAAGCATGTCGAAGTATCGATACCAATAATTAATTAATTAAACAATTAATAATACTAAATAAAATAATAATACTAAAAAAATTAAACAATAAATAAATAATGAAAATTAACAAACTTCAATTAAATTTTTTTATTCGCATTTTAAATGTTAGATTGAATGACATCATTGAGGTAGGATGCAAATTTGAAAGGTCATCGTCATGACTCATGAGAGATTATGAATGACGTTTTTTTTATTGCATTTCATTTTTGTACAAAGCGAACGTGTCCGCATTCACAAAAATCAATTGATTTCATCAATCAAAGCTAATTGCAAATGAGATACCGATTCTTTGTGCCGGACTATTTATGGGCCGCTTTTTGTTATTCGCTGAAAACTTCGAGAGTAAGAGTTGCCTCTCGTTTAACCCTTATATTATTCATGACAATTTTGCAGATGAATTGCAAATATAATGTTGCTCAACTTCATATTTTTGTCTGGCGCTCGATAGGCCGCTTTTTGTTTCAGCTGACAAAGCCAAGAGTATGTCCATCCTTATTCATTTGCCCGACTTAGGCATGAGGCCTTGGTTCACTATGTATCTGGGTTGAAGTATCTTTACCGAAGTAAATTTAATACTTCTATTGGATAGAGCGTGGACGCGTAAAAAGTTTTGAATATAGATTCTTTATTATTGCGTCTTGTGTTTATACAAAGCAAACGCGTCCACATTTAAAAAATCGCTGGATTTCACAAATCAAAGCCAATTGCAAATGAAATACCAAAAAGGTTATTATTCGAATAAATTTTCCTATTACTGATTTCATATGTCGGGCTATCTATAGGCCACCTCATGTTTTTCAATGGTGTTCACTGTAATTGAAATAGGGTAAAGGAGCGAAATTTCTTGTAAAATATCGGGCCCCATATGCCTCCGAAAATATAAATAAAAAATAGTAGAACCTCCCAGCGATTTCTTCCACTTTCATGTAATTTTAAATCGGCTGGCCATTATTCGCGAAGAAAGGCGAATCACAGTTTTCTATGTGCCTGCCCAGTAAGAAATACAGTTTGAGTTAAGTCTACACAAGTACGTCAAGTAAGCTGACTTGACAACTTTCTACTTTCCCATGTTAATCATGTCTGCAGTCGTGCAATTGGCGGCAACAATATACAGATTTCAACCTCGCGATTTTTGAACGATGTCACATTGATTAAACATAGGGGCAATACTAAATGGGTGACAGTTGGAATGGTTGGGCCAACTAACACGGTTTGCACATAGGGCATCGACACAAACTTTCATTTAAAAAAATAACTGGCCACCTACCTACCTGGACTGGTAATCGGACGAGAGGACGTGGGTCCGCATACGATTTATGCGTCCA